CCCACTCCTCAAAGCCAACAAAGCGGGTCCTTTGCTCCCACCTTTAAGCCTGAAGGGAAGGCGGCTGGCTGGAGAGAACAACAGGGATACGATGTTAGCAGTAAGTTCTACTAAATACACCCTTACAGCTGGGAGCGGGGCTCTTCAGAAAACTTCATCTTGGATGGGTAATTCACAGAGGTAAGTGCCTGGGGCTCCCACTGGCCCTTCATGTTGGGCAGGTCTGGCACCATGACAGATGTTGTGGTTCAGGGTGCAGAAGGCATTGTCATCAGGATGGACTCTGTATCTCTATTTTTACACATAACTAACAGAAGAAAGCTGAGGTCACAGAAGTTTGAAATGAAAGATTATATGATAATCAATTACAAATAATTTCTAAGTCCTATGTATAGCTATTTGAATGCTTTATTGCTGAGGAAGATTTTCGATATGTCATAAGTATTTCGGATTGAAACACATGCCATGCATTACAACATACTTCAGGCCTGCCTTACTGAGCTGTGATTGATGCATAAACTGTCCAGGTAGAGGGAGAGCACCTCTATAAGCTCTAATACATCAAAGCGTCCATGAAACTATTATCACCACAACATCCTGAGTAATTAGGGTTGTATGGAAACAGAAACCAAAACCAGCCAAATGCCAGGGGGGCCCCTAATGCATATGGCATTTGAAAACTCTTGGGTACCACTGGGCAGCTCAGTGTACAAGCCTTGTGCACAGAACCAAACTATGCATGGCCAGTCAGGATTTCTGATTGAGAGCCACCCCTGACCCGCTGGAAGCCTGTAGAGGGGGTGCCTGCCATGCCTTAGCCATTCCTGACCTCTCTGGGGAAAGTTGGGGAGGCGAGTCATGGTTTTGCCATTTCTGAACCTCCAGGCTTCCAGTCCTGTGGGTCTGATCATGTACATTTCTGTCACATTTTAGTACATTCAAATGATTTTTGAACCTAAAACACCAAGCTAACCTTTCTTTCCGAAATAAAAGGACTGGACAGAAATGGAAACTCAGCTACAGATTAAAATCAATTCAAGGCTGGTAGGTGGTGTGGCAACCCCAGGGGCAGGGCTGCGGCAGCCAGGGGAGAGGATCCCCCTACTCGAATCTAGACGCAGCAGCCCCGTTCACAGCCCAGCCACAGGGGTGTCCCAGGGGTAGAGCGAGGGGGTGCCAAGGAGTGAGTTTCAGTCGGGGGAAACAGGAACCGAATTGCAAAAGGGATAAAAAGTCATGAATTCATGCCCCAAAGAAAGGGGAGTCTGTGCAGTCAGTGGCTGCAGCCCCGGAGTCTCAACTGGCCACCACTTTGTTCTGTGGACAAGTTCTACTCGCCCAGGGCAAGTAGAACCCCCTTCAGTCGGTTGCTCCCCTTCCTCTCCACAAAGCCCGAGGAGCAGACAGACCCTGTGTGAACCAAGAGCTCTGGGCTCACGGGGCAGGGTGGGAGTGCCTGGGCAGGAGCCCAAGGCCACAAGGGTGGAGTGTTGGCTCAGCCTGCAGGGAACCGCTGCCTATGGACCCCCGAGGAAGGCTGCGGTGCAGCAGGGCTCAGTGAGCAGGTGCAGCCGGCTGCTCATGCTCACGTGGGCTGTGTGCCAGACTGGGCCTGCACCCTCATTCACTCTCAGCAGCTGGCAAGGCTTAGGGACATACAGGTGACACACAGGTCTGGGATAAGCAACCATATTTTTATACAGATGAAAATCGGAATTCAAAAATGTTTAACAGTAAGATAAAAACATTAGTCCTAGAACCATATGCTGCCCACACACTCAAAAATCAGCCAACAGAAGTGGTGTGTGCGTCAGCTGAGCATCGTACAAATTCAAGCCAATGTTGTATTTAGATTTTTTATTTTCCCCAAATTGACCATTCAGCAGATTCCAGGAATGCTGTGTTTTGGGTCAGCAGAAAGACCACGTTTCCCTGAAGGAACCTGTAGGGAAGTAGTAGATTCCAAAGGAATGAAGGGGAAAAGGAAGGAAGGAGAGGCGAAGAGAGCCACACACCCATGCATATGCATGTACACATGCACACACATGAACATACATGTACACAGACTCTCAGTGTGTGAGGGGCCAGAGGTGTGGATGATGGATCAGGTGGGTTAGTCCAGGAAAGAAGACAGCATGTCACCTGCTGCATAGAAAGCAGAGGACCCTCAATCACTCCACAGTGGGGGAAAGTTCCTCTTCCGGGCACCGTGGTTAGAAGGCATGGGTTAGACCCTAATTTGCCATCTGTGTGTCCTCTCCTGTGGCATCACACAAGTTACTGCTGCATATTACTTTCTCCTCAGCTTTATTCTGTCCAACCAGACAGTTGGGGTTCTTCTTATCTACACCCTGCCTGGGAGCTCCATGTAGTAGTAAATGCAGGATTCTTGCCCACGGAAGCTGCCCCTCCAGCTCCTGCACTGAAGTACCCTGTACACGCTGAGGATAAACAATTAGAATGAAGCTGTTCTGACAGAAAGACCTCACAACTCTGCCAAGCCTAAGAGCAACTTCTGCCTTGCAGACCGGATGATGCCCAGGTGCCGGGACTCGAACCCCACCCCCAGCTACAGAGTTCTCTGTTCCGGGAGTGAGAGGCCTTCCGGGTGCTGAGACACGGAGATCTGAATCCTGAGGCTCCACAAAATTCACAAATTACTGACTTGTAATTGATGTGCTTATGAAACTCACAATATGGTTCCTTTGCAGCATCTTCCACTCTTTTCTAACGTGCTCATGCACACAGCAGGGCCGTGCATTGAGGACACTTCCGGATTAAAACAAGCTGCCTGGGCCTCCCAAGAAGTGGGACTAACATGAAGGATCCAAAACTGACTGCACACCTTATCTCCTAACAGGAAGGCAGAGGCGATGGTATCCTTTGTTGTAAGCATGCGTTAAAGGACTAGTTCTGAGAAAAAGAGATTGGAATTGAAGATCAGCATCATCGGTGACTTGGAAGCAGTTCCAATGGAATACCGGAGAAATGAGCCCATTTGAGAAGAGCGGACTGATGACAACATTTGGATGAAGGATTAAGAGCATGAAGCCCTGAAGAAGAATGAAGACCTTTATTTTCCCCTACATTTAGGAAAAAGGGATCATAGGTCCGGACCAAGAGAATTCTGTCATAAAGAAAAGCAAGAGGAGGAACTCAGGATGGCTCTGAGCGTCTAAATGAAATGAAATGTCTGTCAGCCAAAATCTTTTTTTTATGACTATTCTTGATTTTTAAAGAAAATTACTTTTAAAATCATGGTAAGAAGATGTATAAAATTCATCATCATAACTGTTTTAGAGTGCTCAGTTCTGTAGCGTTAAGTACCTTCACACTGCTCAGCCGTCACCACCATCCCTCTCCAGAACACTTTTCATCTTGTAAAGTGGAAACCGTGTCCCCATTAAATACCAATATCTCATTTCTCTCTCCCTCATTTCCTGAAAACCACTAGTCTACTTTCTGTTTCTATGCAATTAACTTCTCTAGGTACCTCATGTAAGTGGAATCGCACAGTATTTGTTTTTTTGTGACTGGTTTATTTCATTTAGCACAATATTCTCAAGATTTATCCATGTTGTAGCGTGTGTCAGAATTGTCTTCCTTTTTAAGGCTTAGTAATATTTCATTGTATGAGGACACTACAATCTGTTCATCCACTCCTCCACGGAGGGACACTTGACTCGATTCTACCTTTGGGCTATTGTGATAATGATGCTACAAAAATGTGTACAGGCTGGGTGCAGTGGCTCACACCTGTAATCCCAGCACTTTGGGAAGCCAAAGCAGGTGGATTACCTGAGGTCAGGAGTTTGAGACCAGCCTGACCAATATGTGAAACCCTGTCTCTACTATAAAAATTAGCCAAGCAAGGTGCTGTGCAGCTGTGAGGCTGAGACAGAATTGTTTGAACCTGGGAGGTGGAGGTTGCAGTTAGCCGAGATTGCACCATTGCACTGCAGCCTGGGCGACAGAGGGACACTTCGTCTCAAAAAAAAAAAAAAAAAAAAAAAAAAAGTACACAAATATAATTTTGAATCCCTGCCTTCATTTCTTTTTTTTTTTTAATTTTTTTTTATTTTTGAGATGGAGTCTCGCTCTGTTGCCCAGACTGGAGTGCAATGGCGCAATTTTGGCTCACTGCAACCTCCGCCTCCTGGGTTCAAACAATTCTCCTGCCTCAGCCTCCCGAGTAGCTGGGATTACAGGCACCTGCCACCGTGCTCAGCTATTTTTTTTGTATTTTTATGTAGAGATGGGGTTTCGTCATGTTAGCCAGGCTGATCTTGAACTCCTGACCTGGGATCTGCCCCTCCTCAGCCTTCCAAAGTGCTAGGATTACAGGAGTGAGCCACCACGCCTGGCTTCTTTTGAGTATATATCCAGAAGTGGAATTGCTGGATTATTCAGTAATTCTATGTTTACTATTTTGAGGAATTGGAAACTGTTTCCTGCAATGGTTGCACTGCTTTACATCCCCGCCAGCGATGCACAAGGATTCCAGTTTTTTCACATCCTCGCCAACTTTCATTGTTGTCTGACTTTTATTTATTGGTTTGTTTCAATCACAGCCTCCTTATGGGTGGGGAGGGGTAATGACTGTGGATGCCAAGAACCTACTCATGTGCTTGCTGGCCATCTGTATATCTTCTTTGGAGAAACGTCTACTCAAGTCCTTCACCCATTCTGAATCAGGATGTCTGGGATTTTTTGTGGTTGTTGAGTTGTAGGAATTCTTTTTATCACCTGGATAATACTCCCTTATCAGTTATACAACTTGTAAATATTTTCTTCCATTCTATGGATTACCTTCTCAGTGTTGATTGTGTCTTTGATGCACAAAAGCTTTTAATTTTGATAAAATCCGTCTTATCAGTTTTCTTTTCTTGCCTGTGCTGTTGACATCATATCCAGGAAACATTCCCAAATTCAATGTCATGATGCTTTTTTACTATGCTTTCTTCTAGGAGTCACATAGTGGTCCATTTCAAGTTATTTTTAAAAGTGTGTCACACTTCATGAATTTGCATGTCATCTGTACGCAGGGTCCTTGTTAATCTTCTTTGTGTAGTTCTAATTTTAGTAAGTGTGCTGCTAGAGCGAGCATTAAAGAAAATCCTTGAAAAAAATACATTATCATAAATAGATGAAAATAAATTTTCTTTATAACACACTGTCCCAAATCCCCAGAAGAAAGAAAGGATTTATGCCTTGGAGAAACTAAACCAGAGAAACTCCGGACTCAGACGCACTGTGTGTAGTGAACACATGAGGGTCTGGGTGGAATAGGACGCAATGAGAGTCAACGTATTGGACTGTGAAGCGCTCCTCTCCCCCACGGATTGCCCCCACCTCCCCTTCTCGTCCTGTTCCTAGCATGCATGCTGTGGGCATGTAGCCGAACCCCCACCTCTTCCCCCAGAAGAGACATAGGAGAGCATTTTCTGGAGAAGCAGAACTGTACCAAAGAAAATACCTGCAGTTATTGAAGTGTAGGGAGTCATCCCCTGATGCCATCACCCTACAGCAAGCTCACCAGGCAGCATGTGCCGACAGCCCTCCACCCGTCACCAGAGCTTCCAATCTGCATTTTAGTGTCTTGCTCTTACATAGGGAGGAATGGCTAAGGATAACGAGATAACCAAGGAAAGCTTGCAACAAAAATGACTGAGGCTAAAATAATACACCGGAAAAGGAAACTTGGAAAGAGACCATACAGGGAGGAAAAAAAAAGGTCTTAGAACTGTAATATTCTCAGAGGGAAAAGAGAAGCTATTGCATTGACAGTTAAAAAAAAAAAAAAAGAATGTTATAAAAGAAGGAAGTGAAGAACAATATAGGGGTTTTGGAAATTGAAAATGGAATACTACAAATTGTAAAAACTAATAGTTGGAAGAATAAAATTGAAGAAATTCCCATGAAAATAGAACAAAAACAGCAAAAGGACAGAAAAAAAAAAACAACTAAGAAAATTTGAGGATTAATTCAGTGCAGAAAAAAAGCAACCAAGGAAAAGAAATTATTAAAGAAGTAACATAGGAAAATCACCTGGGGCTAAAGTCCAGGAGTCTCATGTTCAGTGGCATAGCACATGCTGGGGCAATGGATAGAAGGAGGCTGGCCAATGAACGCCCCTGTGAAGCTCATCATCGGCAAGGATCCAGCACAGAACCCAAGAGGGCCCAGAGAGGGGAAGCAGCCAGCATGAAGGAAGGGGAAGGAGAATGGCGTTCTATTTCTCAACAGCATTGTTGGGCACCAGGACTCAGGGTCACCTGGAATTCTGCACTTACTGAAAATGTCATCATGGCATACATTTTCAATCTAGTCTCAACAAAGGGGAAGTGTGAGATACTGAATGCAGCAAAGGAACTTTCCAGAAGGAGAGTGACAGGAGGTCCCAGCACAGCAGTGTGTAGCCTGGGCACACAGTGGGAGAGATGCTCCAGGTGAAAGGTCCTGGAGCTGGTAGAATGCTTTAAAACGTGTTTGGAATACAGTTGGAAACTATTGTCAGTTTTTGGACAGATCTGTGAGACAATGTGGAAAAAATTAGGTATAACTAAAAAACTCAGCACATGAAGAAACAAGACTAATATTAATTGCAGGGAAAAGACATGTTGTACAAGAGAGAAAAATGGAATCCAAGTACCCTATTTGGCTCAGGCTTGAGAAATATTTGCAGGGATCAAATGGCAAATGTCACAGCTTTAGCCAATAATCATGACCACTGCACACGGAGTCCACAGGGTGTGCAAAGCATGAGGATGGGGAGGGACTGCCATGAGAATTTGATTCCCTGTTGTGTAACAGGTACTCAATAGACAATGTCTAAAGAGACAAAGTAATTATCACAAGACAGTGATGTATTATACAGGAAAAGAGAGTAAATTTCTGAAACAAGAGGTTTGGAAGTGGGTGTGTGTGAGACAGGGGGAGAGAGCATGTTCCTGTAGTTTGTTCTAAGCATGTCCGTACTGTTTATTTGTTTTAATGATCATGTCTTACTTTGAGGTATTTTGGGGGTTTATCTATACTTTTCTCTACTTTTCTGAATTGTAGCACATCCTGTGATCAGGGTCACTGATAGTTTATAAAAGTGCCGATGTACAAGTTAGGGAAAGGCAGAAGCAACCCCAGGCCAGCATACGGTTTGCTGAGAGAGGAATGGGCTGCATGTCAGCCCTATTTGCCTCTTACACAGAGTACAACCAGCAACTGTGCACGGCTGTCCCACTTGAAAACCTAAAGCACAAAAATTGAGACCGAGAATACCCTGTCTGAAATTCTCCTAAGATCAAATGTTACGTCATCAAGTGTCCCTTGAGGTAGGTGTTTTTAAACTTCTGATTGACATGTGAACACCTGTTGGCTGAAATTTGCACATATCAATCTACCACCTGAGAAGCCTCCTGAAATGATACGTGGATAAGCACTTACTCTTATGTGAGAAGGCATGGCCAGGCATTTTAGGTGTTTTGGACTGGTAGGTGATGTGATTACTAGGAGGAGGGTTCTCTCAGACAAGTTTAGGATAAATAGACAAAGACCAGTCTCCAGAAATGGAAGGTGGTCTCCACTCTATGTGGCTCTGGCCAGGCCATATATGTGGTATCATTCTCAACTCAGTGGTCCTAAAGGTCTAAGGAGGACACATTGACTGTGTCCAAGAGGGGGTCTGCAATGTTCATGGATTTGGAAGTCACTTTAAATAAGAAAGAATCTTGAGGACATATAGAAAGTTATGTGTAAATAGTGTCACATGTTAAGAATGTCACACGGAACAGTGAAACACTGGACCTTTTTTAGGGTTAAAGAATACTATGCAACCATAAAACAGGATGAGTTCATGTCCTTCGTAGGGACATGGATAAATCTGAAAACCGTCATTCTCAGCAAACTGACACAAGAACAGAAAACCAAACACTGCATGTTCTCACTCACAGGCAGGTGTTGAACAATGAGAACACATGGGCACAGGGAGGCGAAGGTCACACACTGGGGTCTGGTGGGGGGTAGGGGAGGGGCAGCAGGGGTGGGGAGGTCGGGGAGGGATAACATTGGGAGAAATGCCTGATGTAGGTGACGGGAGGATGGAGACAGCAAACCACCGTGGTGTGTGTGTCCCTATGCAACAATCCTGCAAGATCTGCACGTGTACCCCAGAACTTTACAATAAAAAAATAAATAAATAATAAATTATATATATAAAAAAGAGTTAGGTGGAGAAAAAGATCAAATCAGTACGAAGAGGGACTTACAAATTCCAACGGAGCTGTTCAAAGACAACATGTGTTTTCTTGCAGCGTGAGGAGTAACACCAGGCCACGGGTGTGGCTCAGGGTTCTCCTGACCTGGCTACCCGCCACTGCCAGTGTGACGGATTCACTATTTAATGCCTTTATCCCTTCCCCTGAACCTTGAGCTGCGAAATGACATTTCAAAAAATATTGGATTTGAGTATTTGGTAAGGAATGATCCATCCCTAATCCAATTCATTACTTCTTAATGTGCAAAGTCTGTATGGCTTCTTATTTGCTTCAAGGTAAATGGATATTTTGAGGTATGAATAAAGACCCAGGAGAATTTCCTAAGAACTGTGGAGGGCACACTTTTTGCCATTCTTATCTCCTGTCCATATTCAAGTGCCACTTACAGACTGTGAGGCCGTAAGTGGTTCCAGATCCCATCAGGGGTCTACAGTGAATGAAAAGGCAATCGAGTCCAGATGCTTTTTCTGGTAAACCGTTCCTTTATAGGAAAAATAAACAGAACAAAAAGGGTATTCACGGATTTCTCCTTAGACACTCATTCCTATTCGAGAGAGATCTTTATGCCTCTGAACCCAGGAAGTGCTCAGTCCCCACGTGTAGATTCACTACCTGTGCAAATATCACCTGTCTCATGCCATCTTTTAATTAACTGACTGTATGTTTTAAATGACATAAAAATATATAGTCGAATAAAAAGTATACTGATATAGAAATTAAGAGAAGCTAAGACAGATAAGGTTCCTAAAGTTGCTAAATTTTTTCTCGGAGAACTACTTATTATAGTCTTGCCATATCTAGCTACAAATCATTGGTGCAGAAGTTATACATTTCATGGAATTACACTATTTTCAAAAGCTAAGGATTCCAAGGTAATTTCTTAAATGGACACTTGGCCACAAATTTGTATATTTGTTCAAAAATGTACTTTTCCCAATTTCAAGTGGTACAGAATTATTTACATAATTACGTCAGGTAATTCTACCTGATTAATCTCATCTTAATGTTAAAAAAACATGGAAATCTATGTGCAAAACATGTCCAGTGCTGTGATATAAAGCAAATAGGACACATTTTCTTGGCCGCCTTCACCATTACCTGTGGAGCACAGAAGGCAGCCTCCTTTAACTGAGTCCTGCTCCACGTGTTTATAACAACAGCCCAAGTTTTAGAAGGTTAATTTAGACTCATATTCACACTAGAACAATACCAGGTAAGAAAAGATACTTATCCACGGGGGATATGTGCCAAGACACCCCACAGAGGCCTGAAACCATGGATAGTAACAAATCCTGTATGTGCTATGTTTTTTCCTAGACACACTTGCCTATGATCAAGTTTAATTTATAAATTAGGCACAATAAGAGATTAACAGCAATAACTCGTAACAAAATAGGACAATTATAACAACATACTGCCATAAAAGTTATGTGAGTGTGTTCTCTATGTCTCTCAAAATACCTTAATATTTTCGGACCATAGGTGACTGGGGTAACTGAAGTCACGGAATGTGAAACCGTGGATAAGGTGGGGGATGGGGGCTACTGTACTTGTGAAGTCTAGTAAAGACACGTAAGTGTATGTGAAGTCTGGAGTAGTTACTTCTATGGAGCCTGCCAAAATATCAGAGTGAACGTTTCACCTTTTCAGGTAAAATGACATGAGATCCTACTGATCCGATAAATCCTTAAGTAAAACGTGTATGCACATATATATGTGTGTGTGTGTGTGTATATATATATATATATATAAAGTATATATATATAATTTGAACATATATATATCTTAGATATATCATAGATATATAAGATACATATATATCTTAATTATATATATA